AAAAAAAAAAATAATAAAACCCCCAATTTTTTTGTTTTTTTTTTTTTTTTTTTTTTTTTGTGTACTTCCAAAAACAAAAATACATGAAAAGGTTATTGATGTAAGCTAACATTAACTAGAGGCACATTTGTAAACATTAGGCCACAATAAAGTAGTGTGTAAATTATCATCACTATTAAAAAATAATGTTCCTGAAGTGCCATTTTTTTTCTTTTGTATAAAATTATGTTGAAAGTTAGTCTGCCCATATAAATGATGATTCCTATTCTGTTTTGTGTTTATTTTGTGAGGTTTCTTCCCCATTTGTAAATTTCACTTTTCCTTTCTTCCACAGGTTACAGTGGAGAATGGCAGTGTGTATATTGTTACAAGTAAAAAGGCAAGTTAGGAAATATTTAGTCGTGCTTTCGCGACTATTGCAAGTCTCTCCTCATTGTCTTGCCTCTACACTGGCTATCCCCCCTTCAGTCTGTTATGAATGCTGCTGACCGTCTTATCTACCTTACCAACCATTCAATGTCTGCAACCCCTCTCTGCCAATCACTCCACTGGGTTCCACTTGCACAACAAATACAATTTCAAAATACTAACATCAACATACAAAGCTATCTACAACTCTACCCACAGCTACATCTCCAACTTTGTGTCAAAATATCTCTCTAACTATCCTTTTTACTCCCCCCTCCCCATCCCGAGCTGCTGCTCTCTAGCTTTCTTGTCAACTCCTTGCATGCTGGCCTCCACGACTTCTTCAGAGCCTCTCCCATCCTCTGGAATTCCCTACCCTAGCCTGTCCAGCTATGTTGTACTTTGGCGATCCCTCACACATTCCTTGAGAGAAACCATAAGCCTATCCCTACCTAACAACTGAAATGTTACTTTCTCCATGAACTTGTCTCTCACAAGAAAGACCCTCCTAACTATCTTGTCTTGATTTGTATTGTAACTATATTGTCTCCCTTTATATTGTAAAGTGATTCGCAAACTATTGACGCTATATAAATCCTGAATAATAATAATTGGGTAATGAGCTGAAGCCTTCTCTTTTCCTTTAAATCCAGGCATTAGAGAATGTTAAAAGAGTAAAGGAAATGACCCGGCACAGTGCCAGTGACAGAAGTACTGTAGCAGTCATTGGATCAGGTAAACATAATATTTTCTTGGATTATTTTTTATGCCATTTATGGTGACCTGATAAGTTAGTTCCTTAAATTATTTTCATTAATGGAGACATCAGGGCAAAACGCATAATCAAGTAATACACATGTTAAAAGCTATTTACCTCAATCTGTTGTTGGATGCTCTGTCTGAGAGCTAAAACAAAGTATCAAAAACATTGGCCGATTGCTGGAATGAAGCCCAAAGCTGGAACAAAGCCATTCTCAGACAGCAGCTTTCTTAATTTCTATTTTTGTTGCTTTTGAACAAGATTCCGGTATTATACAAAATGTCATTTGTTCTAACATTTACTCCCTCTGCCATCTGCCAGCTTCCTTTGCGTCGGAGGTGGCGGGAAGGGGGGGGGGTGTGCTCTTGGCTTTTGTAATGGGGTCTGTAGTACACCTGCAATTCACAGTTTGAAAAAAGAAGCTCCAAGTATGCACAACCTAATACTTTTGTAGGTTTTTAGATCCTGCACATCTCACTTCATGTGTCTGCTCTTTGTAAGACAGAGTAATCGAGGGATAACATTGGTGTTTGCACACATTTACATAATTTGTGGGTTGCATAGTAGTGAGTGTACAGCTTGTATATCAGTGTACATTTGCTGTCCCCTCAAAATAACTCCACACACAGCCATTAATGTCAACCTGTGAAGCTCTGGTGAACTCCATGCCCAAGAGGGTTAAGGCAGTGCTGGAAAAAAATAATATATATATTACACACACACAGCATCTCACAGGAATACACCCCTCAAATATTTGTAAACATTTTATTATATAATTTCATGCGACAGAAGAAATTACACTTTGTAAAGTAGTGAGTGTACAACTTGTATATCAGTGTACAGTTGCTGTCCCCCTCAACATAACTCAGAAAACAGCCATTAATGTCTAAACCGCTGGCAACAAAAGTGAGTACAACCCTAAGAGAAAATGTCCAAAGTATCAATATTTTGTGTAACCACCATTTTTATTCTCCTGATTTATTGAAACAACAACACTCTACTTCTATAAACATTTGATAATGCAGCATAAAGAATTTGAATCTTCAATTTATCTTTTAGATGGACTTCAAGCCAATTTTATTTCTATTTTGAAAAGAGGATGGAATTGTTAGAACCTCCTATCCAGGTTTTTAGGGCTATCTTCCCACTTGGGAGATTCACTGCCGCTCGTTCCGGGTAGCCACTGTCAATGGAACAGAACGTGATGGGAAGTCTTTTAATGGAGACACCTGGGAAGTCTTTTAAGTGTCGAAGATTGTGTTTCTACTAAGTTTCCTTTGAATATGGCTGTTGAATATTCGACACTGTGTACATGAGATCCTTATATTTTGCTTCTTGAAATATTATTTACTACACTTATTTTGCTGCTATTATAGGCCCTGCTGCCCTGGTGTGTGCAGAAACCCTGCGTCAAGAAGGTTACACTGGGAAAATTGTCATGGTGACAAGAGAAAAGCACTTACCCTATGACAGACCAAAACTTAGCAAGGTCAGTATTGCTTTAACGGTTGGGCAGCTACAAATGTGTGTCTGTCACTGTGCCATGATACTGGTCTACTTTTTCTTTATTTAATGTATTTGTGTCATGTACTGTATGTGCACAGTTATGTATTACCACACTCTGTTTCAGTTTACAAAACATAAAGGAGGGAGCGCACTGGCATACTGTAGCAAGTCTCCTTTTATTATAAAACCAAATAAGATTCAAAGTCTTACTAGTGGAAGCCTTGCATAAGACAAAAATCAGAGGTAGAGATTAGTGATCCCTGCCTGCATCTCCATCAGGGCGGATGCATGCTGTGAGTAGGGCTGGAGGTCTGCTCTGTGGATAGAATTGAGGATCCAGTATGTGGAGCACATCCTATTGTTGGAATGCAAGTGCGATCGTGCCAACTACATCCACCTTGCCCCTCCTCCTAAGCAGTATAATCTTCTCTAGACGTGTATTTAAGGTGCTATCATAGGCATGCGTTTCCTATGAAGCTTATCCACCACAGAGTCTGAGTGAGCATCCTTCCTTCACCTGTGGCTATACAACATTACTATTTTAACTGATTTTTATTTAGTGTTGGATCACCTTGTGTGCATTGCAGGAATATAAAATGTTATCCTAATTTGGCTGCACAAGTGGAATTAAACCCTTTTTTCACCAATGCCACCTGCAGACTACCTCCTCAGCAGCAATGACAGATTAGGCTGGGGAAAAAAACAACAAATCAAAAAATTGTTTTATATTTGTTATACTATGAAGGGAATTTATCTAAACTGGAGCAGACAACATTTGGAGCAGCTGTATACAAACCAATCAGCTTTTCTGTTTCATTTTTAAATCTTAACTAAACAGACTGGTTGCCATTGGCAACTGCTCCAGATTTTGTCTGCTCCAGTTTTTATAAATTCCCCCCTGTATGTTTCAGATTCCAATAGCACAACTTGAAAAAAAAATATTGAAAATTATTTTAAAAACTGATGCTTCCATTTTAAGTGCTTTTACTTGCTTAAACATTCTACCTACGGTAGCTTCCCCTATGTGATATTAAGGTGTATTTTCACTTTTGCAGTCAAAATTGAGAAAACCCCATTATATGCTCATATGTTCCAATTCACACAGTGGATCTAAAAATATATTTGTTTAAAATATTTGTTTTAGATGTCTCTATGTAGCAGGACTTTGCAAGCTTCTCTCTCAATTTCAGTAACCGCAGACTCTTACTGTCCTCAAGACTAGGAGCACTCTGAGATCCTTCTTAATATAAAATGCTCTTTAACCCTTTGTTAGGACAGACAGTGTTCAAATCTAGCATAAAACTGATAACGAAACCTGCCCATACAGTACGGACAGTAATAATTATGTTGGCATTATTCAAAAAGGTTTATAGCAGAATAGATGCATTTGTTTTGTTTTTAGACTAGATATACAGTACATTGTGTATATATTTGGGGACGGCAGCCTTATTTCTAAATAGATGTGGGGCACCCTGTTACAGTAAGGCCTCACTTTTTGGCAAAGCCATTATGGCTGCCTGAGTTGTATGGGGAGAGAGGAAAAACATTTTGGTGCTATCAGTCTATTTTTTGTTTACTCATACTTTACCTCTCACCTGTATTGCCAGTGTGATTTTTGGCTTAATGCAATCCAGGGCTGTCTTATTCATGTTGTTTTACAGCAGCCATTAAATACAGTTTGTCTATCAGGTGAACAAAAGAGTAAAAAGAAGGGTGATAATTTAAAAACAGGGCAACCTACATATTTATTTTATCCCCACAAAACAATTTAGATCTTTCATCAGAACTGACCATTCTTTTCAAGAAGATGTAGCCTTATAAGTAATAGTACAATGGCACCATCAAGGCAGATGCGTCTTGTTCATCATCCAAGCAAAACAAATGGCAAACGCAGTCATCAATTCGTTACCAGCTTTCCAGCAAGGTGTAAAGCTGGTAATGAATTGATGACTGCGTTTGCCATTTGTTTTGCTTGACTGATTTGGTGCAGTGACGCATGGGGGGTCTCAGCTGCCGTTGTGATGTGCGGGGTCCCTTGTGCATCCCTGTGCCTTTTTAAGGAGGTTGGGCTTCCTCCTGACAAACCTGCACCCAATGTGATCTTTTGTTACATGTGCTCCAAGATGGAGACTCTCATAGTTTAGAGTTAGGACCGCACTATATAGAGGTGCCTTGGCGCGGCAGTGCGGCTTTCACATTTTCTGCAGAAGACGTGTATCTAAACCTCTGTTTTTAACCTTGGCGGTGAGACAAGTTTTTCTGCATGTTGGCTGGTGAGTGTGCTGGAAAACTTTTTGCTGTTCATCATCCATACACAGTGATCCTCACATAAAAATAAATTAAGAAAAACAAGTGGAGATGTCTGCAATCAGATTCCAGCAGTACATTTTGTCTACTAAAAAAAATGTATTTCATTAGCTGCTATGGGTACCACATGTACTTTTCTTTTAAGCTTAATGACCTGAAAATAATGTGAAAACTCTTCATTAACAACGTTTATTTATTTGGGCCACTCAAACTGCCAGTCCTGATGTTATTGCAGTATTACAATGCATGGAAGCAAAGAAACAAATGAACACAACTCTGCATGTACATATGCATACATTTTCAACTTTAAAAATTGAATCGTAATAAAAATTGCCACTGAAGTTATTACCATGACATTATTTAACACATGCATGGATTTTTGCTTTATAACATGTGCATCAAAATAATCTGCATTGAAGTGTTGTGAAAGGAGGATTGACGCCTAAAATTCAGTGGGCCTTATGAATCAAACATGCTTTTACATGCATAGAACTATACCTGTAGACCCACACCCAGCCTGTATCTGATAGTTGCTGTTCAGTCGGATAGATGTGTTTTCCGCATGCTTGATCCAGCAACCCAACCTGAGGGTTTATACATGAAATCACTTTTACTGTTGCCATGTTACAAGAGATTGACAGATACCGAGTAACAGCAGACTGCTGCATTGTACAAGAGACAGGCCTGATCGAAATAGCTCTGATTTATGAATAAATATGTCCCATTAGGGCCCATTTACACCGTCTCATTACACGCATTGGTGCAGTGTGATGTCTTTTATTCTGAATGGCACCCAATGCACCTTGCCAATGGATGTGCTTTGCAGCACACCACAACACAAGGTAACCCTTTGCCTTCAATTACAGTGCTCTTGTTTTGGTGCACTAGGCAGCCTGTTCCACTGAGTAGATACATTAACATGTGTGTGGTAATGCAGTACAACAGAACATAATTTTTCCTTTTATCTGGCTGCATATCGATTTGCCAGAAGTAGTGTGTGGAAAACAAGAACTGCCATGCAGTTGTTTATTTGTTAACAAAGTAATGTATTTTAACATATCTATAAAGTAGCGTACATTCCCAAATCTTGATATCAACCTCTCATCTCTTGCAGAGACTGCCAAAGAGAGGGACAACACTAGGAGGTACTCATGCTCCTAGTCATCTCTCTAAAGCCTATTTACACATAATCACAGTATTGTAAGCCAGATTTTGACTAGGGATATGTTTGGTGTAAAAAGAGGTAATCTTGGCAGAGAGGTGTATGGTCACCATAGGTTGTGGGCCCACAGGCCCCATCTTTCCCTGCCCTTGCCTCCTTATTGGTTTATTTTAGGGCTGCGGAAATTAACGATTAATTACCCGATTAATCGTTAAAATTTTTGACCGGATTAAAATTATTTTGTTCAATAATAAAATCACTCACCTCTCTGCTGGCTTCCGGGAGTCCCGTCGGAGATCCGGTGACGTCACAGACATGGACGTCACCAGACTCCTTCCCCAAGTGGCTCCGTCGGCTAACGAAGGGAAGGGGGGAGGAGTCCGGTGACGTCTATGTCCGTGACGTCACCAGACTCCTCCCCCTTCCTTTGTTAGCCGACGGAGCCACTTGGGCCGGTGATCTGTCGACACTTATCGAGTTCTGTGACCGCCTGACTTCCGGTTTCGTTACAACAACTAAGAGGTTTGCCCAAGAAACTTGTTCTGCACGAGCGCCAGCGAAGGCATTGGCCTATACACATACAGCACAGCAATTAAGTAATAAAATTAACTAGGATCACACTAATCTAGCACGTTATTATTCCGAGTTGCCCCACTCAAGCGGCGGCCATATTGAGTGGGGCACGCGAGATTAATAACGTGCTGGATTAGTGTGATCCTAGTTAATTTTATTACTTAATTGCTGTGCTGTATGTGTATAGGCCAATGTAGTTGGATCTGTATGTGCGTTATAATCGAAATTAATCTATTTTAAAAGAAAATTCGATTCATCGAACACGAAAATTTTAATCTGTAACAGCCCTAGTTTATTTTGCTGAACAGTTGTGTTTGGAACATTATATGTTTTGTGTTATCTGAAGCAGTCGTTTTATCTGTGCCACCCATTCTTGGTAAATTGAATACTGTATACAGTAAACAAGGAGAGGTTTTGATTCCCTTTCAAGATGTTTGAAGTTGTGCCCTGGTTGTGTAGCTGCATACAGATTTTGTATTTCTGTTATCATCCATTATGACTTAAAGAATGGTAATTCATTATAGTTATTAATTTCTCTACAGGCAATGAATGCAAAGGCTGAAGATATCTACCTACGACCCAAAGAGTTTTATTCTCAATATGATATAGAAGTGTGGATGGAAAAAGAGGTAATCCTTGTATTTTGCTAGAAGTGGTATATCCTTATATGACAGATTAGGTGGATGTCAGACAGGAGACTCTGTCGCTAGCGATTCTGGCGCTGGTAAATTGCCGAAATCGCCAGTTGCAGGATCACTAATATGCGACCTGTTTGTCCCTATGGAAACTCTCTCCCTGTAGCTGAGTCAGCAAGATGTCGTTCCTATTGCTGGCAATTGAGATTTAGCAGTGTTTGGGCTAACGACAGAGTGACATCTCGCTGCACCTGGCTACAAAAGGAGAAATTCCATATGGGCAGATAAGCAGCGATTCTGGCAGTTTGTCTCTAGCAGTAGACTTGCACATCTGACATCCGCCTTAAAGTGGACCTATAGCAGCGCTAAACTAATTAAATGAATAGCAGCTCCCCAGTCAACCTAATTAACACAGATCAAGTCTGGTCTGTATCCCAGTTCTATATGGAGAGCCACACACAGCCCTTCCATAGACACCTGGATCTCTAGAGTCCCTTAAGTGCTAATCACCTGCTGCTTATGATTCCTCTTACCTCCCCGCACCCCTCCCCTTTCTCTCCCGTTCATTGAAGGACACAGGGAACAGATCGGAGATCCTGTACTGTAGGGTAATATCGCCACCTGCAGGAGAAGGACGCTAGGCACAAAACTAAAGACCAATCACATCCTAGGGGCGGCCCCTGCTGGTGGCCAAAACCCCCCACCTGCTGACAAGTCTCCAGTTTTTTGCCTAGCGTCAGGAGTAAGGAGCTAAGAATTTTTTTCGGGTATTCTTACCTGCTTCTTCCTGATCTTTTTCAGTGGAATCTTCTAGCAAGTGTTGTCCGGGCGACAGGCTGGATGTCCCGGATCCTTGGAGTCTCCCCGGGACGACCGACGATCGCATGCAGGCCCGCTCCGTTGCTGGTTTGGGGCGCAAAGTGTTGCAGGCGGCTGTTTGAGGGGATATTTTTGTTTTAAGTTGGGTTTGTTGTTTCTGTTGGCCCACCCCTCTTTTTTGGTACTGCTCTGTGACGTCCCTACAGTACAGGATCTCCGATCTGTTCCCTGTGTCCTTCAATGAACGGGAGAGAAAATAGGATTTTGGTACTCATGTTCCCAGTTCTCATGTTTCCCATCTAATTTCCCTGTTAAAAAATGAAGAGAGGACACGAGAAACTCGGATGGACTCCCTTTTTATGCAAATTGAGCTCAATTGTGCTACACATGATTCGCCTCATTTTTTCCTATTGTCACATTTTAAAGAAGAACTCCAGGAAAACCTTTTTCTTAACTCTTGTAGTGGGGCTACCCCCGCACTGGAAGGGTTAGGTCCTCATTTTTGTCTAGGTGCTAAAATACAGTTATACTCACCTGAAGCTCCAAGCCGGCCAGCTGTCACAACTCTCCCTCCAGCCTGTCTCCCCCTCCGTGCAGCATTGGAATCTTCCTCAGCATCCTCACATCTAAGCACTATGTATAGACATTGATGATTTACGGGACCTTCGACCACTGCAGAGGAGGCTGAAAGGACCAGCCCAAAACAAGCCAGGTTAACTAGAAAATGTTTTTTTTTGGCATTGTGCTCATTTGTGGGTTTGCTGTTATTCGTCTCTTCTATAAAAATCTAATTGTTTAGGAAAGCAAACAGAAAAAGGTGTCTGCTTTTGATATGTGTGCACCCAGGGAGCTCGCTAAACCTGGGGGTATACTCTGAAATTCTTGACTTTGCTCTTAAGGTGGCCATACACTTTACAACCCTCGCACGACTTTTGTCTTGCGAGGGTTGTAAAGTAATTAAAAAAACGTACGATCTGCCCATCTTGGACAGGCAGATCGTACTTGCGATCATCGCAAGCCCGCCCCCCTGAGAGGCGGGCTTCCGATGACTGACTGCAATGAGGGGCAGGCTTCTGATGACTGCAAACAGGCATTGTGCGCTTGCGCACACCGGCCCGTTCGGCAGTTGTCGAACAAGCGAGCCACTAACTCGCCGAGAATCGTACGATTCCGGCGGGTTTTCCAGTCTGCTTGTTCGACGGAAGACGTGCGACCGTACAGTAGAAACGGTCGCACGCCTTCCATACACTTTGCGATTATCGTACGATCGCTGGATTTCCCACGATTCTCGTACGATAGTCGTGCAGTGTATGGGCACCTTGACTGCGCTTTTGAGCCACCCATGCCACGCCATCTTAACTTAGAGTATGGAAACTTACTTTATTTGGGGATATAACTGGTTCACTTGAAGCTGTAATTTTCTGGCCAGATAACTTTTATTTGTGTTTTTGGGCCAAAGTGTGTTCCGATATGTCAATTATGTTCGGAAATTTAGTGCACACAGTTATATGATTGGGATATAATCATATCGAATTGAAGCTGAACTCTAGGCAGATATAAAAATACACAAATGCATGCAGCCCTGTGATCATTAATGCATGATTTTTAAAATACAAGCGGTGTAAATGCCTGAAATTTGACCTGGTAATAGACTATTGTAGTCCCTGTATTGCTCACACTGGAGTGTGAGTGGAAGAAGCAGTACAAGGAGCCAATTAGTTGATGCGCTGACAAGAAGGATGCTGATTGAAAGGGAGAACTGAGTGACAGAGAGATGAGTTGATTACTGTGCTGCCTCTTCTTTTACTGTCGATTTAAAGGCTGTTATGGGTCCAGGGAAACCTGGTCTCAGGGAAAGAGGGTTAGAATGATGCTGGAAATCGGACTGAAAACATCTACTGGCAGGAAAATAAAATGCGGCGGAAATCTCTGGATTGAAGCTAAATATTGCGGAAAAAAGCTGTTTTTCTTTTTATCTTTTACTGATTTAATTATTTTTTTATCTTGTTATCTGAAATTGCTCTAGATAACCTGGTGGAAATAGAAGTAGTCTTATGATCACCATATACCGTATATTCAAATTAGGGCTGCGGAAATTAACGCTTAATCCCTCGATTAATCGTAAATTTTGTTGATCGATCAAAATTATTTTTATCGGTACTCACCTCTCCGCCGGCTTCCGGGTCTTCTGTCGGAGATCCGGTGACGTCACGGACATCGACGTCACCGGACTCCTCCCCCTTCCCCAAGTTGCTCTGTCTGCTAACGAAGGGAAGGGGGAGGAGTCCGGTGACGTCTATGTCCGTGACAGCTAACGAAGGGAATGGGGAGGAGTCCGGTGACGGTCACGGGACTCCTCCCCTCTTCCCTTAGTTAGCCGACGGAGCCTCAGAATACTATAACATATACTGGAGGCTGCCGGATCTAGCAGATAGGAGCGTGTTCCAGTGTCATTTGCCAGTGGTGTGTGTCTGTCTGCATACAGGGACCTGATTGTGAGCCCTCACGCTGTGAGTTGTCAGCGGCTTAGGGCTCACTTGGTTCCCTGGTGCAGGCGTCACACAAACGGGGAGCAAATATGAATGCATCAGCTGGGCAGATCTCCTTTCCCCATGTGGCAGCGGTGTAATGATTGGCAACAGAATGCTCATTTGTGAGTGGCCGCTTCTGGATCCAACCAATTACCATACCCCCTGCGATTGGCCGTACAAGTATTAAATAGTACACGGTTAGCTGGGCTACCTTGCTCTGAAGAAGGGGGTGTGTCCCCAGAAAGGTGTTAGCAGCAGCAGTCAATGAAGATGTCACCAGCACACCAAGTATTGTATCAGAGCTGCAAAGTGCCCATTAGTGAACAATGTCAATCAAACAAGTGCTTTTGGGACCGCGCAGGGTCCCCTTCATCAGGCTCAAAGATAACAATGCGTGAATGAAAAAACCCACCATTATATAGACATACAGATAGAGAGACAACCCACCACAATACCCCCTAATGTCAATATGACGTCATAAGCCTGCCATAACGATTTTAAAAAAACATTCCAAACTGGAGCGAAAAAATCTGGAGCAGTTGCCTATGGCAACCAATCAGCTTCTCTCTTCAGTTTGTTCAGTTAAGCTTTGAAAATGAAAGGTGATGCTGATTGGTTGCCATGCACAGCTGCTCCAGATTCTGTCTGCTCCAGTTTTGATAAATTCCCCTCAATTTATTTTAAAGTGTATATGTTTTATAGTGCATATCACATTTACCACTGACTAATGCAGAGTTGCAATGCAAGCAGATCAGCTAAAAGTAGTTGGATCTGTATGTGCGTTATAATTAATCGAAATTAATCGATTAAAAAAAAATCAATGTAATCGAACAGGAAATTTGTAATCAGTAACAGCCCTAATTCAAATTTTATATATACACATACCACATATATTGAAATGTATGGTCATTGTGTGAATGGATTTTACAGCTTGCACATTTGATAATTGAGTGTACATTGATGAATTGTAGGGAGTGTTTCAAATAATCAACCTGGGTATGGGATACATCGCATCTTTCTGTTAATATTCCATATTTCAGTAATAGACGTTTAATATCTCAATAAAGTAAACACTTTTAAGGAGTCTGCATTTGTAGTGGACATTTAACGACTCATTTTATTTTATATCTTTTTTCATCTGTGGACTATTTTGTACACTGTTTAGATTATTTTGCTAACATGTCATTTATTGCATATATTCACTTGATGGTATACGTGATTGATGCATAGTGCATACACCTGATGCATACTCTAAAGCTGGCTATACACCTTACAACCATCGCACGACTTTCGTTGTGCGATGTTTGTTTGTAAGGTAATTTAAAATCTCGTACGACCTGCCCATCTTGGACAGATTGTACTTGCGATCATCGCAAGTCCTCTCCGCCGAGGGGAGGGCTTCCGATGACTGCAATGCTGAGCGGGCAGTGTACCCTTGCACACAACGGCCCGTGCAGCATTTGTCTTCCGAGCACGCCACTAACCGCCGAAAATCATACGATTTTCGGCAGGTTTTCAAGTGTGCTCGGAAGACAAAAGACGTGCGACCGTACAGTAGAAATGGTCGCACGCCTTCCATATACCTGCCGATTATTGTACGATAATCGGCAGGTGTATGGGCACCTTGAGGGTTAATACCTTTTTAGCTCAGCACACTTGATGGTGATTGCTGCATAGTGCATACACTTGATACATACTTTGAGGCTTAATACCTTTTAGCTCAGCACACTTGGTGTTATAGGTAGTTGATGCGCAGTGCATACACCTGATAGACATCTAACTACCCAGCTTATTAATGCAATATATTGTCTTCAGTGAGGATAATCTTTCCCTACTGAGGAGGCTGCTGATATCCATGCATAATTTAAAGAAGAACTCCAGGCAAATAAAATCCTAACCCTTGCAGTGGGGCTTCCCCCACACTGCAAGGATTAAGTACTAATTTTGCTTGGGGAGCTAAAATAACAGATATACTCACCTGAACCGTGATCCTCGTTGGTTCCTAGACCGGTCCCTGGAGCCTCTCTCTCTCCCTCCTCTCCAGCAGGTCTAAGGTCCTGTGCGTCATCACGTTCTATACAGTGTATAGGACATGAAGACGCAAAGGGACATTCAATTGCTGAAGTGGAGATGGAGACAGGCTGAAGGGACTGGTCTAGGAGCCAGCTGGGATTGTGGTTCGGATGAGTATATTTATGTTATTTTTAGCTCCCCAGGCAAAAAAAAGTACCTAATCCTTGCAGTGCGGGAGTAGTCTCACTGCAAGGGTTAAGATTTTTTGTTTTGCCCGGAGTTCTCAGAATGCTTGTCACTGATTTTTTTTTTCTCTTTAATCTGTATGAACTCTTTGTAATGCCCCAGGCCCAACGCCTGCAGCCTTATCAGAGGGTTGTGGAGAATGCTGGCCCAGGGCAGGCTGCGGAAGTGAGCCAGTAGTGTGTCAGCATCTGATATCTGTAATTTCATAGTTTTAACTTATTTTAACTTTTTTTGATAAGGTTGATGGGGAGGGCAGCTAAAAGGTGGTTTAAAATGGCATTTATAAAAAAAATGAATGCTTTATTAAGGGATTTTTAAGATGTATACCTACTTGCCAAACTTCCTCTTCTACCTCCCTAGTATTCTGCGACTTAAAAAAATGAAAGCCAGTTTTTTGTACCTCCATTGTTTGACATTTTAACATGTTGCATGGTTGTAATCTTGTTACTTGATGTCTTTTTCTGCAGTCCTTTAACACGCAGTATCACTGCCCTCTTGTGGATACAGGCGGTACTAGAATTCTTGGTAGATGTAAAAAAAAAACATTTATGTGATGGAACTGTATTGTATTTGCCTGTTTAATGCAATTAAAACAGTAACTGTATCTCACAGATCACATAGTAAGAGATATAAACCATAAAATTCTACTGCATTTCGAGATGTAATTCCATAAATGAGTATTTTTGTTGCCACGCAGGTTGTTGCAGTCAACACAGATGAAGCCAGGTTAAAATTTAGAGATGGATCATTCCTTCAGTACTGCCAACTACTAATTGCCACTGGCAGCAGGTAAAAATGAATTCAAATATATTTTCTCATGTCTTTTTATATGGACATATTTTGCAAAAATATTCATTTGATTGAAATATTTTATAATGGTATGGAATAATAAAACCCATATTAAAGTGTTGGTCTCTGAAAGCATTTAGATTACAAATTATTCTTATATGCTTGAAATCATAAAATTGCTGTTGCAGACTTCTTCTAGAATTGCTGCTTGCCTGGCCATCTCTGGCTGATGCTTATTCTTGTTATAGGTCAATAAATCAAGGTATGGAAAACATTGGATTAGCATGGGAAGCAGGCAACCAGCATTTTCAGGAGCAGAGGCCATTAATGGTAGCTTCCATGTTCTTCACAACACAGGAAAGGGAAAATTTAGAGTTTTGTATAACTTTTTTCTTATGATCAGGACTAAAAAATCCAGTTTTTATTTTATAGTTGGGTACATATGCAATATTTTATATGGGAATGTTTTATTCTGATACCAGTGAGTAGAGCTTTTCACACATTGACCATGTTAATCTTAACTACTTTAGTAAAAAAACAAAGCCTTTTGTTTACATACCCTTAATGGCTGAAGCTTAGATTACACACACACCTGAATGTATAAGGGGAATGACTCTCCCTCACCTCCACAGCCTGAAAACAAAAACTACTTCTGTAGTCTCTTTAGAAAACCCATATTTTTTAAATGCTGTGTCATGTGTACACCCCGTGATAAGGTTTATTTGCAAAATAAACCTGTTCCAATTTATATTTTCTAGAAATTCTAAAACATCAGTTTCAAAACATTACCAACTGATGTCCAATCAGATATCCAGTCACCTAGTTGAGCTTGTATGTTATCAAGAGGTACGGCCCTTGTGGGTTAAGGTAGGGCATTACCATGTCTGGTTTCTCCCTCCCTCTCCCCATTCTCCCTCTACTCCTGGCGTGGCTGTGATGACCAGGGCTCTACTGTGAGCTGAATTATCCATATATTGTTAAGGCGACACCACTAGGAAGCCAGTGCAGCAGTAGTATAATAGTTTCTATCTCTGTAATGGGGGGTCATATACCGTATAACATTACACCGCACACAATAATTAGCGGAAAAAGAGATCTAGTGATATTGGTTAGAATTCTGCTTTAAATGTCCCCCCCCCCTCCCCCCTTCCATACCTTTTGAGACTGCTGTGTAGCCTTATTGTGTGTAGGTCGCCGGCAACTGCAGTTCCATTTTGCTTCCGTTCTACATGCACCCTGCCATGGCCTGCGAAATTGTGAGTACACCTCAGAGTTGGTCTGGATCTTGATTGACCAAGCTGCCCTTGGTCTTTTCACTTGACGTCACAGGTGCCTCTCCCTTGAAGTGGCTCCACAGACACAGCAAGACCAACCACTCTTCTGTTCCTCTTTCTCCTCCTCTTTCCTCCCTGGTCCAAGCTAGTAGATGGACAGCTGCTGGAGAGTGCTCTGCCCCTTGTGATCTTATACTAGACAGGAAGTTCATGGAAGCTCAGCTGAGAGTTGGAGCCGGCTGCTTGGAAGCATGATGACTGTAATTGCTTGGGCAAACATGTAAAGCAATGCTTGGGGGAGAGAGAGGTGTGTGTGTGTGTATATATGTATGTATGTATATATATATATATATATATATTTGATCTGGATTCATTATTGAAAAAAGTTTGAGTTTAATAATACTTTAAAACCGCATGAGGAGTGCAGAAGCGTAGTTATGTAACAAAAGCCAGTTGCTGGAGAGCCAGTGAGAAAGCATTGTTATGTTTAGACTCGGATCTATGTAACCAAAAGCAAAGTAGGACACGAGCTATGCTTAGGATGTTAAAAATTAAATATGACTATCTGTGTTGCTTTGAAATATAATTTTTTTAAATTTTCTTTATCTTGCGTTTTATTGTTTGTGACTTATCATTTTATATGGGGAAAATATTCGCTGGAGGCTTTTGTCTTTCCCAGAAAGAGTAGGTTTGGATGGTTATTGAAAACAAATGATCGTGATAGAATCTTATTCCAAATGCAGACAGGCTGGAATTTTATTTATTTTTATATTGCCTTTTCTTTTAAACAGAAAATGGATTGAGAGTTACATAAAAAAAAGAACAAGCTAGGTTTGTACATGTTTATCGAGTGGAAATATTGATTGTTACACACAGTCTCTACTTATTACTCCCTGTTCTCTTCATTTCCCTTTACCACTTGTTACCTTCTGCCTTTTTCCTTGTATTTTCACACAAGTGCAGAATTCCTCACTTGGACTTTATTTGATACTGTATATTTTGAAGCACTTGTCTAAAGTTCTTAAAGGTAAAATACACAAACGCATCAGGTGACCACTTAAACATGGGCACGCACCTTTGTTCCTTGGTTCAGTTAATATTATCTTTTATTATAATATGCTTGCATATGACACAGCAGTGTCAATGTGACTGTGATCATAGTATTGCACACAAGCAAAATGGTCTTGTTGACCTAGTCATGACCTAGTCATTCCACTGGGCAGACAGACACCGGCATTCTAACCTTATCCAGGACTTTACCACTCCAAAGGTCCCTAAATAGAAGCATATGGGACTGGCAGACTTTTTAGTATATCTTGGTGGATGTGCAAGGAGTTTGGGTGTCAATCCTCTGACTCTACTTCTGTTGTATGAACAGGCATTTCTCAGTAGGTCTATTAAAGGAGAACTAGTAGGGTTAGGGCTTTTCCCCATAGTTCTCCAAAGGGTAACGGGAGGACACAAATCAGCATCCTCCCGTTACCCAAAGCTCAGTATACCGCAAGCTGCAGCTCGCGGTACACTGAGTGCCCGTCCGTTCCGCCAGTCAGCGCTGGAGGATCGGACAGGGGAGGGGAGAATCCAGTCCCTCCCCTGTCACGGCTCTCTGCAGTGGCAGGATCGAGAGGTGAGCGAACGCCGGTATGTGTTCGCTCACTTCCCGATCTACTGAGCCGACCTGTGACATTCTCATTGTCACAGGTCAGCTCGGATTATGAGGCTGAGTGAAAAGCACTCACCTCATAATTCTCCTTTTTAAGGTTGAACATATGTAAATGAGCACAAAGTTCCATCTGTTGGCTGGAAATCGTAAATGTAAAATACTCATTCAGTAATTTGGATATGCCTGACTTAACACTGGAAGCTGCACCTGAACAAAGGTAGGCAGAGGACAACAGACTAGTCACCTGTGGTCTCCTTGCAGCTGATCTTTCCTCTATTCCTGGCTTACTATGCCTTGTTCAGCATTGTGTGTCTATGTGGGGGTGAGGCAGGGTTTTGCTTCTTTGCGTCAGAGCTTCCGGCAAGGAGAACAAAGAGTGGCATTGCCAAATCTCATACCAAATCTCCTGGAACTAGCAGCCACAAACAGTGCCTCATGCTGCAGATCTACAGATATGTGGCTATAAGCACTGGAGGTGCACTGCTATATTTCAGGAGAAATTCTAGATCAAAGGTAGATTTTTAGGGCACAATTAACATTTCGTAACATAGCAAATCCTTACTTTTGAGTTGAGTTTCACTTGTGATTTCCAAAATGTGTTTCCTGGTCCAGAACATAACAAATGTTAATGTTCACAAAACACAAAAAAAATGCATTTAAACTGGCTCTAGAACAAATCCTGCCTGTTGAGGGGATACAGTCTCTATCCAGCAGTTTATTTTGTACCTGGAGGCCCTGCTAGCGAAAACAATATCTTAAAAATCCACCTGGATGGCACTGTGACTGATAATGTAGGCCAGTGAATTCATTTGGTTTTAGTGCCACCCTCTTTGTGAGCACAATGCAACTTCATCCACATAACACTGAAGCATGAGAGGGAGGTTACACAGCACAGACCCATATGGCGAGAAGCTACAGTTCTGGCAAGTGGCCGTGTGAGAAGTATACTGACCAAAAGTGGGCATTTTAAAACTCCTATTACCTTTTTTGATCTGTCAACACCCCAAAAAGGTTCTGTATATTTCTGATACCCGCTTATGTTCTGCTGGTGTGTGTTCTTCTACAAAGAGTCATAAAACTTGGATAGCATAAAGTGCATTTGTTTGGATCCAACACTAACTGGTCCCCTCAGGAGTTGAGCAGCAAGCACTGGCATAAAGGTTCTGTACACCTTTGATCTTTTGACCCCCTCTCCCCCCAACTTTGTCTTTAATGTTATGTTATGGGAAATGTATTTATAACCTGTGATTTTGTATTTTAAATCACTTTAAAGTTTTTCCCTTTTTGACAACCTAAGCAGGGTAATGTATATGGTCACTGTGTGCTCAAGATCTTGTGCGATAAAATGGTGCAGCCTCCAAATCCTTCCAACATCTCTTATCCACAGCAACATTACATTTACAGCAGATTATGGAGTTGGTGGGCAGAGCACGGCCAGTGTCTTTTCCAAAATCCTTCCCCAGACCAATGTTCGTATTACCATTCTGCAGCCAGACCACTTGGCAAGGGCCAATCCTTGAACAAAAAGTGAAGGTAAAGGGTAAATTACCTGCACATGGCACATTTTAAATGGCTACATCTCCGCTTTAAAGTAAATTAAAGGGATTCCGCATAATCTCCTACATTGTATTGGCCATTCACTGATTTATTTTACTACTTGTCTAGATCTGTGATTTTGCCTAAATTTATGTTGATTTTACCACTTTTACCACGTTTTTTCCTACATTTTATGTTGTTTAGACCAAGAGAGCTTCAGTGCACTGGCTCTACACTGAAAAATGTATTTTATTTGCGGACTCCAGAAGATGCCAGAGCAATCAGTGAAGAAGCCACAGGCAAAAAGGTGGTGATCATGGGCAGTTCTTTCATAGGTATGTATGTAAATCTGTAGACATACAGCACATAAAAAGATCCGATGTTTCCGGTATACAGTTTGAATTGTAAGTGAAGTTTTTTTGCGAGCCTAATAGAATGACAGAGCTATTTCAGGGGTGCTTATAAACCTTGTATAATATCTGAATCTTGACAGTGCTAGCACTTCTAGCCAAATCATCACAGGCAATCTGAGCAACGCTGGGTAAAACAATCTACTACAGTGGTTGGCAACCTTGGCACTCCAGCTGTTGTGGAACTACAACTCCCATGAGGCATTGCAAGACTTGCAGCCCCAAGAATGATTCCGAGAGGCAGAGGCATGATGGGATTTGTACAGATGGAGTGGCGAGGTTGCCTACCCCTGATCTACTGGGCACCGATGCAAGCAACCATATAATTGGTAATGAGTATTCTGCCTGTACTTGTTCCAATCAGTATATTGCCAGGATTAGAGTTGATTTTTCTCCTGGCATATGTAAGTTTGCAGTGCACATGAGAAAGGTCTTGTCTTTATCCATTATTGCACACACTAAGGCTGATTTACTAAAGGATTTGAGATGTTCACACAGAAAAAATGTGTAAATATTCACTTCAATGATCTAATTAAGTGCACATGAAATAAACAAACTGGATACTTGAAGTGAATATTCACACAATTTATTGTGTCAAGGTTTTAAACTCCTTCAGTAAATCAGTCTCCATGTCTCAGTGGTAGCAAGCGATCGCTGAGTCCGTTGCATCTGTTGACAAAGCAACCATGGCTAGCCTAAAGCTGCCATATAAACCTAGAGAAAAATATGGAGGCTGCCATTCTTGACCTCCTTTTTGAAAATGGTAGTTTTCAGTCTAGCAAGTAGATCAGTAATTTGAGACACTGACTGACACTGAAATACAAAAGAAAATGTCACCACCACACCCAGAACTGCAATGCTACATTTTTGAGAAGTGCCCGCTTGTCATTTCTCACTCCACAGGTTTTTATACAGTGTGTGTGTAGTATATTACAACCAATCATTTAGTACTGTATAGGTTTTGTTACGTACCTGGCTCGAGACTGAGTTGACAAGGGGGCTGCCCATGCATCTCTCGTCCCACACCTCTCCAGGTGGTGACAGGATGTAAGGACATGGAGTGGCACAGACGCTGGTGCTAATATCTGAATGAAGTCTGTGCGGGTGATTGAGGGCGTATGATGTCTATGAAGGTGCTTGAACTGGCAGCCACGAGCCAGGTTCATACACAAGGAAGCAGATATACAGGATCAGGTTCAAGGAACACCGGGACAAGCTGAAGACTACTCCGCAACTGGCTCCTTGCGTATAAGTTTAAATAGAATGAGTGTGCCCGCCAACGAATGTGGATGGCCCATACGTTTTTTGCATGCTTGTGTTCCAATGTGTGCACGTTTATGCGCCAATGTGTGTTTGCCCGGAACTATTAGCGTGGAATTGTGCATGCATGTGTACGTGCATCATTGAACTGGTTTGCTGGTAAGCGTCTCACACTTATGTGCTAATGCATGTTTGCCCGGAACTGTTGGCATGGGATTGCGCACGGTGTGCGCACGCATCTTTGAGCCAGAGCTGGTTTTTCGGTTAAGTCTTTTACAAGTTTGTGTTCATTTTTGTGCTTTTGCCATGGTTATGATTTCACTATGATGTCATGGTAAGTAGGAGTGGACTTCTATTGGTTGGTCACGTTCCAGTGTATTCTTTACACTGGAAGTGGTGTCACGTTTTTCTTTCTGAGTCCTGCGCAGTTATGAAATGCTGCATGATGGGTGCAATAAGCTATAATTGAATTTTGTACAAGAAGGAAGATGTGCAACATATGCTAAAGCACCCTCTTCATTAAAGTGACACTTAATTAATTTAAGTACTCTATTAACAAAAATGTATCTTATTTGTGTATCACTCGGCTGTAGATCCTCAAATCCTCTCAATTAGTGCTGACACTGTCCTTCCTTCTGGATGGTGGTTACTTTTGTTCCCCATGGTCCCTGTGTGTTGTAAAGTAGCCACTGCCCCAAGCTCACTCCTGTGATGGACTACAATCTCAATACAAATGAGTAAACTAAACATGACATTGTAATCCATCACAGGAGTGAGCTTGGAGCTGTGGCTACTTTACAACAAACACAGGGACCATGGGGAACAAAAGTAGCCACTCTCCAGAAGGAATTACGGTATCGGCAGGAATTTTGAGATGATTTGAGGATCTACAGCTAAATGAGGCCAGCTTGACAAAGAGGCTCTGTGCCTTGAAACGTGTTGCCAGCGCGATACCTTCTCTCACCCACATCTTACCTGCATGACCGTTGTCTCAAGCTGCTGCGTTCGTAGCCTGATTCCAGCGCTGCTCAGCTGCAGCCATCCTCTTAAGGTGGCCATTAAACAAAATTTAACGCACTAGGTTGTGGCGCTGTCCTTTTTTCTTTCTCCAATTTACAGCCACAGGTCACCTCCATCTGTGTAAGAGGGCTGCACACCGAAATCAAGACATTATCAATAAAACTGTCCCCTGTTTATATACCCCTTTTTATTTCTTTTGAACCTTCTTATCCTTTTCAGTGCGCTCATCATTTACATAACTCCTGAGTTTAGTGTCACTTTAAGGTTGACTCTGGTATGGTATGTGAAGGGAATATGCTGACCCAGATTACACACAGATCAAAACATTCAAAGGAAAGTATGAACTCATAATCTGCATATGTTGTCAGTCATTGACGCAGCTCTGATGCCATTGGACCAGAATGACAGCCAGGGAACAGGTATTTCTAGGAGAGCTGTGGTAACCTCCAGTGCAGGCTTTTTATTTTATAGAACATCTTCACTTTTGGTACCTTCTCTTCTAATGGAAACGTGTACTGAAAGGAACCTGTCTTTGGTGACCATCTTCTGCAAATGCTAGTTTCCTGGCTGTTATGCTGACTCTTTGATTTATTGACTCAGAAAGCACTGAAACAAGCATGGCCCTCACTATCTTGTCTTGAATCGTATTGTGATTGTAACGTCTTCCTTATATTGTAAAGCGCTGCACAAACTGTTGGCGCTATAAAAATCCTATATAATAACAATAATAATGCCTCCAGTAGAATGTGATGATCTGATCTACATCTTTGTTCTGGGTCAGTGACCTAAAGTACGGAAGCCATCTGATCGCCATACCAGTCAGGCAGTTAATATTTTCAGAAGGATAGGTCAGCAATAGCAGCATGCCTTTTCTCTCAGCATAAAGTTACCTTAAAAATCATCTGTATCTGGTTGTAATCAGGAAACTAGGATGGACCTCTTATTTTCTGTGTATAATTGAACCCAGTGAGCAGGCGGCCAGCACTGTACTTAGGCTTTTGATAAAACTGTGAAATGCAGGGCTTTGCATGTGGAATCTTTATAGCATTATCTTGCTTGTTTCCTGGTGCTCTAATCTGCAGATGTGCAGGTAGTAAGTAGGAAATGACACCACATTGCTGTGTTCTTTACACTGGAAACTGTTGCTTCAGATGGTAGATTTTATTCAAATAAATTGTAGCATGTTCTAAAAAAATAAATAAAGGAAACTTGTTGTTCAGAAAGAATGCATGAGCATGCTGCTGTCTACTAACTAGGTCAAATAAAAACGTTTCCCCCTAATATGTCTCTGCCAAGAAAAACTCATAACGTTTCATTTATTGAGTATAGTTATTTGAATAATAATCTGCAGGGTTGCATTTGCAAGTTTCATATGATCCAACAATTCCTCTCTCCGCTTCTCTAGGCATGGAAGTTGCAGCTTTTCTTTCGGATAAAGCTAGTTCGGTATCTGTGATAGGGAAATCTAGTGTGCCCTTCCAGGCTGTGCTGGGATCTGAAATTGGAACGCTAGCAATGAAGGTAAATGCAAATGTTTCCTTATTATCGTGCAGAGATCCCCCAACTAGTAGTACACAGTCACATGAGGTTTTAAGATATCTTTGAGGCCACTAACAACAGCCTCTCTTCATGAGCTTAGTACATGTCTGAACGCTTGCTACATTAAAGAACTTTTGTAAACAAAACGTAACCCTTGCAGTGTGAGGGTAGCCCCGCTCCATAGGTAAGTGCTCATTTTGTGTAGGGCAGGGGTCCGTTACCTGTTCGTGGCCTGTCAGGGACCCTGGTGAGAGCCTGCACTGGCCACCCAATAGACCGCATTGACCTGCATTAGACGTAAGGGAGCCAAGGGACATTCCACCATAAGGAGGGAGAGTGAGGTAAGTGCAAACAACCACTTATCCCTTGCATTGTGCGGGTAGCCCCACTGCAAGGGTAAGGTTTTTTTTTTCTTTGTCCAGAGGTCTTGTTTAACACTTTTTCCTTGAAGTTTACACATGTTTAGTAATGTGCAAGACTTTCAGATATTACTTCCCAAAGAGAACACATTGTGCACCACAGCCAGCCCTACTAATCTGGCAGAAAGGTACAGTGTTACAACAGTCCCAGTCAGTTATGAGAATGCATTCTACCTTCTGCAGCAAATTGTAATATAATTATCTGATTGCTCTACTCAAACAGACCTTGAGCTGCCTAGACTGCTCCTAATGATCAAAGGTGCAGATTTTGTAAGGTACATTTTATAATGGTTTTATTTTATGTGTTAACTAATGGGACAGTGCAACAGAGGCTCCATTTGTCTGTATACAATTTTGTATTACTCCGATAAGGGATGAGTCTTCAACTTCTGTGTGTAAATTTCAAATTGAGCTATTGAGGTCTGTAAGCAAAAGGTGTCTTTCAACAGATTTGACAATTTAAAGTGACATTAAACCCTCAGATTTTCTAACATAAAACAATACTGTAATGTGCGCCTTACTGTAATCCATGGTTGTTTCCCTTCTCTTTGCTGCTCTTCCTTTTAAATCTGTATCTGTTCTCATGCTGGGCAGAACTTCTGTTTTGTCTCTGGAATGGCTACATGCTGTCTGTGTGTAATTTTGCAACCTGAGCCAGCACTACAGGCGTGGGCACTCAGCTGCAAAGGGAAGTTCTCCCCAAGCATGAGAAGGCATGAGGATTTAAAAGGAAGAGCAGCAAAGGGAAGGGAAACAGCCATGGATTACAGTAAGATACACGTTACAATATTGGTTTATGTTAAACAAAATCAGAGTTTAATGTCACTTTAAGCCTTTAGAGTACATGTTGCTTTTAATTTTGACAGGAACACAATCATAGAGCCTTGTAATGTTTTTTTGTCTGCTTTAAATGTCTAAACAATTTATGTAGCTTCTAAATGTAAAGCTGTACATACAGTATAGTCCAATAAAAATGTTCTCTCAGTTTCTGAAGCTGGGAAGGCTGCTGATATTCAAATTAGTTGATCTCAAAGCCAGGAAGCCAGAATCTGTTATCCGTACATCTGCTCTACTTTTAAAGGATGAGTGGAATTTCTGCATTTTTACTTGTCACTTCAGCCTGCAAAAATAATTAATTTGCAAAAAAGTCCATGTCCTGCTCACAAGTATCACTCTTCCACAACTAGTCAATATTTAAATATAAATGCAGCATCCTATAGCACTGTGTTTTTAATTGTTTTAAAATAGGTTTAACTGCAGTTTACCACTGCTCATGGTTTTTTCACTGTATGCACTGTTTACATTTTCCCAAGTTTGTGGAAGCTTTATTATACTTTAAGGCCTTGTTCACACCAAATGCAGAGCAGATCCGGTCAGGTTTCTGCACACACAGTGCAGTGGGTTGTGCCTCGTTTTTGATGTGTTCCGGGCCGTTTTTTTTTTTTCTTTAAGTTTAACATGGGCTTTCAGGCTCCTGCATGCGTTTTTGCGTTTTGATGCGTTCCAGAGCAGATCCAGAGCAGGTAAAATAGGGCTTGCCGCAGTTTTTTCACCTGCTCTGGATCTGCACGCTGCGATGTGAACTGGAGCTCAAAATACCATTGGAATACATTGGACGCAGTTTTGATCCGGTCTGCACCTGCTCTGCTCTGGATCTGCTCCGCGCTTGGTGTGAACAAGCCCTAAAGGAAACCTGTACTGAAAGATATATGCAGGCTGTTATTGATCCCCTTCTAAAAATGCTAGTTGTCTGAACATCAGGAAATTCAGAATTGTTCAAATTAACACTTAATCCTTTAGCTGTCCAGACATATTTTTTTTTGCACACATTATATAATTCACATTTTAGGCCTGGGAAGGACTGACTTAACCTCGCCCCAAATTATACATTTGTTGTATTGTATCTTCAGTACACGTTTTCCTATAGGCCCTAAGGCTAAAGCCATCTAGAAAATGCAATTTATTGCAGATGTGGTAATATTTTTCCAGAAAAAAAATATCTTGTCATTTCTTAATTTTTACTAGCTTAAATTTATTTTTAAAAATTGATTACTCTTACAGCTGAACTCTAAACCTCAAAAATATTATTAAAATATACTCCTCAATAGCCACAAAGAATATAAATCTACTTTTGTGTACTGAATGCCATATAATAGAAGCAGTGACATCATCACTGTCGTGTACATAGATTCTGCCATGAGCAGAGCTGTGGGAGGAACCCAGCAGGCCCCACCCACTACAGACTGCTGCAGAATACTACAGAAGGGGCAGATACAAGACCAGTCATGCTGCACAAGCAGAGAGCAGCAGTGACTGGTCTTTATTACAGGAAGCTCCTGCACAAAGACAAAGTTTCACACTGGATTACAGCACAGATCTGGAAGGAATACACAATGCTCGCCAAGATTCAAGTAAGAATACACATGATTCTTGTATTTAGCCAATATCTGCATAACCTGGAGTTCATCTTTGAGCTGCATGATGCATAGTGGTAATAGAAGCACTATTCTGGGATCCAGAGAAATGCTGGCCTGAAAATGTAATGCGTGTGAGGGGCTCGGACATTTACCTGCTGCTCTACATGGGCTGTCAATAGGGGAAAACGCAAGTGATATTGATTGCAAAGACACGGAAGTAACAAGAAATCTAAACAGAACTTTGTTAGGGCGGCTACACCTCCTTAGGTAATGTATAGATGTAGAACAAATTTGTTGGTACCCAAAAAATGGACACACAATTTTTCTGAAATAATTTGAACTGACAATAGGAATCTAACTTTTTTTTTTTTCCTTTCTGATTCAACAGAATATTTAAAATAATAAATAAAAATGGCAGGGGCAAAAATAATGGGACCCTAACCCTTATATTCTGTTGCACAACCCTTTAGAGGCAATCACTGCAACAAGCAATTTCTGTAGTTCTCAATGAGATTTCTGCACCTGTCATAGGCTTGTATGGCCCATTCTTATTGGGCAAACTATTTAAGTTGTCTCAGGTTTGAAGGTTGACTTCTCCAGACATCATGGTTCATCTCCTTCCATAGGTGTTCGTTGGGTTTCAGATCAGGGCTACAAAAGGCCACTTCAGAATAGTCCAATGTTTTGTTCTCAGCAATTCTTGGATGTTTTGAGCTGTGTTTTGGGTCAAGGAGGACCCATGACTTTCGACTGAGACAGAACTTTCTGAAACTGGGCAGTATCAGACATTGATGTACCACTTGGATCTTTTGTCATTCCCACTATCCTTCTGTGCAATCTGTGTTCAGTTTTCCCTCTTCTGCCCATGTCTAGTACGGTTGGCTGCACTTCAATCAACCTCAAAAAGTAGTGTAGTCGCGGAACATCAAGCTGTTTGGAAATGGTCTAATAGCCTTAGCCTATTGCATAGACATGCTGGTCTAAAACTTTGTTTCTTATCTCCTTTGCTTTCTCTGGTCTATGTTCAGTGTTGTGCACATGATGATCCCAAACAGCAGAGCAAATACCCTGGCCAAAAAGTCACACACTCTAATATTTTGTTGGACTGCTTTTAGCTTTGATTATGGCACGCATTTGCCATGGCATGGTTTTGATATGCTTATGCAATGTTGCAACATTTATTTCCACCCAGAGTTTTTTTTTTTTCTCACCAAGATCTTGTAGTGATGATGGGAGAATCAGGCCACTGCATCAAAATGTTCAGCACATCCCAAAGATTCTCAATGGGGTTAAGGTCTGGACTCTGTGGTGGCCAATCCATGTGTGACAATGAGGTCTCCTGAACCACTCTGTCACATTTTGAGCCCAATTACTCCTGGAATATGGTCGTCCCATCAAGGAAGAAAAACATCCATTGATGGAAAAACCTGGTCGTTCAGTATATTCAGGTAGGCAACTGACCTCATCTTTGGGGACATACCATTGCTGAAGCAACCCCAGATCGTAACAAAACTAAATCCAGACAGTTACTTTTTTTTTTTTTGGGCCAGGCAATGTACTTTTTCTCCATTTAAATAAGCTGACTGAGTGATAACAATATTGCAGATGTGTGATACTAAGTACAGAAAACAGTTAAGGTACCCATACATTTACAAACGAAAATCGTACACAACGGTCCTTTCGGTCCTTTGAACATCACCGATTTTTTGTTTTCGATATTGCGATCTAAAGTGTTAGATCGGTCAGGTTGGAAAATTTTTCTCTGAACTAATGGAAATCGATGAATCAATGGGGTTTCATGCGTCCAAAAATCTCTACAAGAACACAGCACATGCGCAAAAGGAAATTATTTCCGTAGCTCGTCAAAAATTGTTTGGTTAGTATGGCTAACGAATGATTTCCAAAATCGACTATGACCGAATTTGACTATGCTTCATGGGGAAGTCTAGGTATAATCAAACAAGGGTTTGTGCCAGAAATGAAAAATATGGAGTTATTTGGCTACATGCTACCTGTGCACCTAATGCACTATCACTTAAGGCTTGTTTTCTTGTATCTCGCACCACACAAACAAAATTTACATTGTGAATTAGCACCTGTTGTTATCAGTGACAGCAAGAACACACTTTTTCAGACACTTTTTCTC